ATTGCAGGTGAAACCAGATTAATCAGGTGTCAGCGAAGACAAAGATATCTTAAATTGCAAATATGAACCCTGGTAGAACCTTAGATGGCAAAGGAAGAAAAATAGTACTAAGGCATTTAAAACTCTCTGTTAGTCCCTGCTAGTATTGTGTCTAATTCAGCAGGGTAAAGGAGGAGGAAGAAAAAAAAAAAAAAAACCCTTACCAGACAACTAATGAATTCTGCTGCCTGTCTGAACACCARAGCTCACTTTACTCCTGCTGTGTTTCATAGGGCCCTTCAGGCAAAGCTGCACCCAGTCCTCATAGATGTTTCTTCCCTCTGCAGTGCGGCTGGTGGAGGCGCCATATTGGAAGGTACAAAACTCCAGAAAGGAGGAGTGACACACACACAAAATACCCTGATGGGTTCATTCCACATCTTTAAGGCCCGGGGGCTCAGTATCCAGAGGACGACCTGGACAGCGGGGGCGTGGCGCAGGCTGGGCCGCGGGGGGACCTGCGGGGAAGAGCGCCTGCGCAGCCACTGGAGCAATGGGGGCGGGGAAGGCAGCGGTTTCTGTCTCACCACAACCTGCCGCTTCCTCCTGAGCTGCCGGTTCCCTSGACCTCCTGGGTATTTTAAAAACTAACTGAACCTTGGTAAATCTCTTCCCACCCCTGCCCGCGATCTTACCTTATCTACATAAATYCGGAGCAGAGATCTTTTAGAACAGGCAGAAAAGCTGCTTTAAGGAGGGCTTGGTCAGGGTCAGTACCAACAGTTGTCCTTTCCTTTAGCTGTGATGAGTTCTGATGAGCATCTTCCCACAATCCCGGGGATTTTCCTTCTTCTCCAGCTCCCACCTCCCAGCAGACCCTTGGATATGGAGTATAAGCACGCCAAAAGTCAGAAGAGGTTTTCAAACTTCTCCTCAGGAAACGGAAATCACAGACTCAATTCAGTTACTAGATGGTCGCCAAGCTGGTATTCTGAGCACCTCTTGTGGAAGGTTTGGATATATTTGGCCTGATTTTCCAGAACTTGCAAAGCGTTCCTGAAGGAGAAATGTTACCAAGGAGAGCTTTTGCAAGTTTTCCAAGTGTGTTTAATTTTGCCTCTTTTGGAATATGATGATATTTACCTCCAGTTGGGAAGAACATATTTTTTCAGGTCTGGTTTTCTGAAAAGGTAGATGCAGTCACATAGGAGTGAGTTTGTTGCTTTTACGGTAGGTTCCATAGTTGAGAACTTTAATTTACAGGAAATGACAAAAGGTCTTGGCACTTAGTACACATTGAATGCAGGCAAGGAAATTATTTTCTAAACATCTGCTATATTCCACGCACAGTGTTCACTAGTTTATGTGGAGTAATATTCCACAAATATTTCCTCCCAATTTAAAARAGCTARGGCCCTGAGAGATTTTGTAACTTGTTCAAAATTATAGAGCTAACAATTAACTGATYTTAAGTTTCAAACCCAAGCACTCCTTGAAGTCCTCTGGTTTGTGGTTGTATTCTCATGATTGTCACCAGTACCGTGATTCTTTTTAATGATTAAATCTCAGTTTATTCTGTCTTTGGTTCTTTGGAGAAGGGGGCACTACTGGGGATTGAACCCAGGGCTTCATGYAGGCYAGGCAAGTGCTYTACCACTGACTACATTCCCAGCCCCTAGATCTCAATTTATTCTGACGACAAGGTTACAGGACTGTTGCTTTTATCTGTAATTTAAAATAAACACAGGAGTTCTTAGACTGTGTTTCCTGAGGTTCYAGTCCTGAGCCAAGGATTTGWGWTTRAGGGATTTKYTAAGAAGGTRATCCTACAAAGCAGAGTAGCAGAGAGGGAAAGAGAAGATGGGAAGAGAATAAAACCAAGGAACAGAGTCAGAAGGTCATTTTGTGAGCCCAGCCCCTTGAGCTAACTCTAGGAAATGTATAAAATCTGCCTGGGAATCTGGCCTTTAGAATGGGGGCTTTTGCCTTCCATTTCCTTTCACATCTGAATGGGAATTGCTACTGGGAGCAATGACCCTCCAGTATTGCTGGCCTGACCCACATGTGGGTTGAAAGCAAATGCTCAGATAGGGTATCTCTGATGTTTGCTGTTAGATGCCATTGGAATGTGCAGAAAGSGTAAGTGACATGGGGAGATGGTTGGAACACCCACACCATCTGTGAAGACCCCTTTCTCTCTGCCCAGATCTCCTCATACTTCACAGAAAATCCACTTCTTTCCTTCAAGACTTCTTCAAATGTTTGGCTAGTCATAATTTTTTTAAATGTATCTACAATAGGAAAGTCTAAGTGATAGTCCTCATTATTGCCATTGATTTCATGTCATAATTGATATTCAAGATCTTTCCCTCTTCTACCCATTCTAGATTGTTTATACTTAGCCAGAAGTTCTTCTCATGCATTCATGAAGGACCAAAAAAAAAAAAAAATTGATTCTATGTTCTAGTTAGGCTATGCTTGCTTCCAATACATTTGAACAGACCWCAGAAATAACACAAGACTCCCAATGAATCCTTGAGTACCAGACTGTTTCCATCTTGCACAATCTCCTCATTTAAATCATGGTCAGTTAAGTCTGCCAGTAAAACAACCTCATTCATTGCCTGCTGGTTAGTGTAATAGGAAGTTTACAACATGGCCACATGGCATCTATAGATTTAAATTTAGTGCAACTTTACTAAGACTCTTGGGAGRAATACTGCTTAACTCCACCCTGATAATCAGCTCTCTAGTCCAGTAGGAACTCAAGAAGTGTTTAGAGRATCAGAGATTCACAAATGAGTCCATGGGGGAACATTTCTACTTTAATCCCTTGGTTCCCAGGCCTGTATATTTTAGCCAGCATGCAAGAGCTGTTCGTTCATCAATTATATGCTGCACCATGAATGCCAATGAACAATCCCACAGTGTGTCTTAGCTACATCCCTAAGTGGATATTCCATTTTTCTATAAGCCTGACAGCTTCTCCATGATGTATCAGTACTAATGCATCCTTGGGCTATATTCACATTGTTATGCCTCTTTTCTGTAAGTCAGAAACTTGTTTAARGTGATATGTAGCAGGGTCAGACACTATGAATCCTTCAATAGCTSCTGCCCATAATTCTCTAAGCAGGGAAGGCCAATGCATTATCAGATTTCATATCAATTCCAGTAACAAAATTGCTGCCATCTCCAGGGTACAAAGGTCCTGGTGTGACCATCATGMTATCTATATCTAATAGCTGGTTGATCTCACTGAAGAAATGGATTGTGTTGAAGAATCAGTGTCAATCTTTGTTGCCTTCAGGACAACATTAAATATTTGGTGAAATGAACTTTGTTGAGAGAGATCCCAGGCTGTAGGTAATTGCAAAGATTCCATTACAGCTATCATGTCTACTCTGTACAATCACTGGGTAAGTGAGGACAAACTTGGRTCAAATCTAAGGTAACCACCAGATTGGTCATTTTTTTTTCTTTAAAGTATATACTGTCTGGTCACCATTGACCTAAGAAATAAATGTCTACATAATAACAAACCCACTCCTGTGCACTCACCTCTTTATTACTGATCATTCACTTGTGCTCCTTATAAGCCAAGAATAACCAGAGAAACCATTCACCACTGCTCAAGACTCTGTAGAGCCTTACTTCAGTTTACTCTCCTTTTGTACAAAATTGATGACCAGTTGAACTGCTTAACATCTGTTCATAGACAATAAATTTAAATGTAGGTGTCTTTGGGATCCATCTCTAGCTGCCAAAGCAACATATTTTCCATTTAGTTTCTATAAAAAGGAAAATCAAACACTAGAATTGGTAATGTCATACCCTGTGTGGAAGTTGTCACATGTGTTGAACTTCTTGTACACAGTTTCAAGTTTCTTTTTGTTCCATGTTTTATAATGTCTGTGGCTTTGTAGAGCTATCACTAGGGGGATTTTCTCCTGGAATGGTGCTTCATGTCTTCACTGCTTCAGTAATGTGGGGCCCAACAAAGATTCATCTGACAGTCTTACATATATGATCATTTTCTTCCCAGAATTGTAAGGGTGTTGATATCCATGAGGATNATATACTGTCTGGTCACCATTGACCTAAGAAATAAATGTCTACATAATAACAAACCCACTCCTGTGCACTCACCTCTTTATTACTGATCATTCACTTGTGCTCCTTATTAGCCAAGAATAACCAGCGAAACCATTCACCACTGCTCAAGACTCTGTAGAGCCTTACTTCAGTTTACTCTCCTTTTGTACAAAATTGATGACCAGTTGAACTGCTTAACATCTGTTCATAGACAATAAATTTAAATGTAGGTGTCTTTGGGATCCATCTCTAGCTGCCAAAGCAACATATTTTCCATTTAGTTTCTATAAAAAGGAAAATCAAACACTAGAATTGGTAATGTCATACCCTGTGTGGAAGTTGTCACATGTGTTGAACTTCTTGTACACAGTTTCAAGTTTCTTTTTGTTCCATGTTTTATAATGTCTGTGGCTTTGTAGAGCTATCACTAGGGGCATTTTCTCCTGGAATGGTGTTTTATGTCTTCACTGCTTCAGTAATGTGGGGCCCAACAAAGATTCATCTGACAGTCTTACATATATGATCATTTTCTTCCCAGAATTGTAAGGGTGTTGATATCCATGAGGATGGGAGCCAATAAAAATTTTTGTCCATATTATTTCCTGTAGGTTCCCCTCTGAGATGCCTTGCATACARTATTTCAGAGAGAACTCTTCAGGTGGATTTGCAGTTACAGTGGTAACCAACTCAATAAATTAGTTTGTTATTAACCTTTGTTCCTTCCTTGCTTGACTTGCTGCTCCTCTACCCAGATCCCTTATATTTTTATCTGTTCATCACTTTTTTAAAAAGAAAATTCTTTTCATTCAGACCTTTCTCTCAGGCTTAGAACTGGGGGGATCCCAGGCTATGGCCAACAGTAATGGACATGCTAACAAGCAGCTCTATGTTTTGGAAATTTGGATTAGAAGTATGTAGGAACTTCAAATGACATTTATAAATGAGATCTGTAGGGTTGGCCCAACATGATTATAGTTAGGCTCTCTTGTCAAGCTTTCTGGTGGGCTATTTTTAGTATGTAGCCAAGGTCATAAACACCTTGATGCAGCATATGTACTCAGAGTCATAAACATGTTCTTGTGGGCATGGCCTCACTTATTTAATCTGTTAGCAATATGCCTTCTTATTTTCTGTTAGCAATATGCCTTCTTTTTGGCCGGCATATAAAAAGGCCTCTGGAATGACTGGGGTGAGGGAAGATATTGCTGCCTCCAAAAAAGTATGTCTACTATCACTACTGCACCTAGCATGTTGTTTCACCTGCCAAAATCCTGAATCTRTTTTCAGTGTCTGAGACCATGAAGGACAGGCCCATGTCCCTAACTATCCTCAACCAGGCCGCAGATTGTGAATGAGGTCACTGTGGACCTGTAGACCAGTGCACTTATCGTCTGAATAAAACGGTGTATTTTCAGTGGAACCACTTGGAGCAGAAGTATCTCACAGCCAAACTTGACCCAAATTTCTGACCAAAATACTGATTAAATCACTGTGCTAAAATATTTTTTGTAAGTCATCAATCTTTCGAATAAATTTTAAGCAGCAATGTGCCACTACTTAAACACTGGTGGTTATAATTTACCTTGATTATAATGAGGAACCATAGTTACTTCTTCACAGGAGAGGTATAAGGAKTTTTTTGGGATACAGGGCAKGAMATGGCTTYTCTGTGGTCCATGTTGAAYTGACAGAACCAGCAACCACWGTTCAAAATCAATGTCACTGAGAATTCAGACTTCTTAAGGTGATGATTTGGTTCACCTCACAAAGAACATAGAACATCTGAAGTGTCCCTGAGAATAAGGAAACCTACTAASCAGTACTATAATCTGAGTATATGTGTCACTCCAAAATTCAGATGTCCCCAAGGTGACAGCATTAGAGGTGGAAACTTTGGATAAATAATCAAATCATGAATGTTCTGCCCTCATGAATGGTGTTTGTTATTACAACAAATGTCAAAAGGGACAAACAAATCATTTTACCAT